GGGAGATGTTTAAAGCCATCAAATTCCCATTTAGGAGGCATAGGGGGCAAGGTCTCCAGAATTTTTAATTTGGGTTGAAAATGTGATAATTCATACACACAGAAAAATCTTTCAACATTTTAATATGAAGTCTGACTAGCAGACGTTTTAACGAGCAAGTGTATTGTTTCAATAATGGTCTGTTGACATTAAACATACCTTGACAGAACTAAGGAGGGTTGAATTTTTAGGTTCTGTTTTCTGACAGCTACTTTTAATGGACATGCTCTTTGAACCTGAAAAGCAGTTTTGGGTGTTGGAAAACACCTCAGGGGCTACTTCTTAATCTGCAGTAAAATAGCATTACTTCACCGACATTGCATTTTTTTAAGTCTAAGACTCTTCTAAAAAAATTAACAATCCTTGTCTCTCCTTGAATTCCTTAACAGAGCCTCTCTTTAAAATAAAGTGCTATACGGATATGCAGAGGAGATATTCAAAGGCACATGTGAGAGAAGTTATCCAAGCCTTTCTTGTACATGCTATTGCATGCATATTTTTGAAAGCAATTTCTTTGTCCCTTGGGACATAAATTCCTCTTGAATACCACAGTTGAAAAGTCGAGAGTGATATTTTGGCTTGAAAAATATTAGCTGAGTCTCATTAATTTAGCTGGATTTAAATTTAAATTAAAATATCTGTTTGAAAAAAATCCTTATTCATCTTTAGACTTCTTATTAAAAAAAATATTATTATTGAATATAAGGAGGATAACTAATTGTGATATTTGTGTGACATATTTTTTCTCCCAGGACACTCAAGAGTCATATATTTTCCCTGAAACACCTTAGCTATCACACACTTGTCTTAGCTCTGTGACAGTTTGCAACGCAGATCACAAGTTTTTCTCTTAGTTAGCTGTAAAAAAAAAAAAAAATCTGACTGTTCTCACAGTATGTGAAGCTTGATTTTTTGGTCCATCTGGTATCAGCACAGAAAAATACAAAAAAAACCCCATATTTTATGCCACTCTAAAGATTCCTTCTGTGTCCAGTTGTTCAGTGCAAGACAGTATGAGTGGCAGCTTAAGTTAGCTATATTGTCAGGTGCTAAATCAAAAATGTTTAAGTCCAATCCGAAAGAAGATAATATCTCTCAGCATTAATTGTCTCAAGATAAGTGAAACTACCTGAAAACTTAGCTCTTCCTAGTCACAAACAGTAGCAGAACATATCTCAGTTTTTGCATTTGAGTAATGATGTATAAACTTCCTTTAATATTTTATTTCTCCATGTAGCTAGAAAACACAATGCTGAATATTTGTTTCCTCTTCAGTTTAATGCATTCTGAATGTACAAGCAGTGAAGTGCTGAACAGTTTTCCACATGTGCTCATGCACGGGAAGAAAAGTTTTTTCTCATGCATACAACCGACCTCATATTCTCAGCTCCATAAGCGAGATGTTCTGCTTTCGCATTACACTAATTGCATTTTCTTTCCATTTCTAGGTTGTCTCTGACATGGAAATTAGTTATGTAAATTGTGTCTCTTTCCGTGCTTATTTGTTTTCATTAGGTTAGGAGGAAACCACTAATGCCATTAAATAAAAAAACATCTGGTACAATGTTTTCTTGGACAATAAGAAACAACACATTACAGAACTGCAGCTGAGAGGAAAATTAACATCTTTTGGCAACTTTGGTTTTCAGAGGGTAACATCAAACCTAGGCAATAGATTTCTTATTTGAACAAAGACACTTTCAATGTGTAGAAGATATTTAGCATTAAGGAAAGCAAAGGACATTTGACACATACAGATTTCACTGGACTTTTTCCCTAACTTTAAAAAAAAATAAAACCAAAAGAATTCTTATTCCTTGTGGTACAATTCTATTAAACAAATGTGTAGACTGAGTTAAATCCCCAGGAACAGAGATTTGAAACACCTATTTGTTACATATTTGTTACACCTAAATATTCTTTTGCAATCTGCATTGAAAAGTATACAATATTAACTATAGGGGTTGTGTAATGGCAGCTGTGGAGTATTTATATGTTAAGGACTGTTAAATTTAGAGTGGAGAGAGAGGTGGGACTGAAACAGCCCTGAAAACAGTTAATCTGGTATCTCTACATTGTAAAAATCTGAGAGTTTAGAGAAGATACTTGATATACAAACTTCAGTAACTCTGTGGTAATGCTCTTCTGCTTTGCTCTCCAAAGGAGAGACAAAAGCACTGAACCAGAACACCTGCCATGTTTTCCATACAAAAGATTTCTAAATGAAAAGAAGGAGGGAACACAGAAGGTGACACCCTAATATCCTCATCAGCTGACTTGAAATTAACCCCACAAACAGGTCAAATCACCATGTACCATATTTTTGCAATACTGAATTTTTGTAACCTCCTGAAAGGAAGAAGGGTGAGATTGGCTGCAACCGTTACGACGGGAAGAGTGTGGACAGTAGGACCAGGGAAGTTATTTTACACTGGTACTCAGCACTAGTGAGGCTGCACTTGAGTCCTGTGTTCAGTTTTGGGGCCCTCACTACAGGAAGGACATGGAGGTGTCGGAGCGTGTCCAGAGAATGGCAACAAAGCTGGTGAAGGGTCTGGAGAACAAGTCTTATGAGGAGCAGCTGAGGGAACTGGGGTTGTTTAGTCTGGAGAAAAGGAGGCTGAGGGGAGACCTCATGGCACTCTATAGCTACCTGAAAGGAGGTTGTAGTGACCTGGGTCTTGGTCCCTTCTCCCAGGTAACAAATGACAGGATAAGAGGAAGTGGCCTCAAGTTGCACCAAGAGAAGTTTAGATTGGATAGTAGTGGATAGTAGGAAAAATTAATTTACTGAAAGGGTTTTCAGGCACTAGAACAGGTTGCCCAGAGTAGTGGTGGAGTCCCCATCCCTGGAGGTATTTAAGAGTCTTTTAAGACAGAGTGCTTAGGGACATGGTTTAGTCAAGGACCTGTCAGTGTAGGTTAATGATTGAACTCAATGGTCTTAAAGGTCTTTTCCAATCTAGGCAATTCTGTGATTCTGTCTGTTCCATATTGCCTTCCTCCCTACCCAGAACTGCAGTGGCAGGGCCAGGCATGTCTCACCCCTCCCTCCACCTCTCGCAGCCTCCCAGAGATAGGTGGCTACACAAGACCAAAGAAAAATCATTTCTCTGGAGTGAGGTAGAAAGTGAAGTGCTTTACAAGGTTTAAATACAGGTTTCTATAGTCACCATGCATGTTCCAGTGGGAATAATTGGGTTTGCCTGTTAGATGTTCCAGTCTGGAAACTGCTGAACAAACAATGGAAATTTAATAATCTGGAAGCAGATTCTGTGAGTAAAAACATAATATAATTTTTTTATATACTTTCCCAACTATAAAAAAAAAATCTTGGCCCACTTTCCTTTGTTGTTCAATGAAGTGTGGTAAGATGCCTAATTCGACAAGAAAACCTCTAAGGCTCCTTTCTGCTTCGTCCACACTAATTTGGATGTTAGTGTTCCATGAAAGAAATAAATCTTTATAACACATTCTTATATCACTTTTCATGTCTAATATTTCCATGTCACAGAAAAATTGCTAAGATCTCATATTTTCCTCCCACTATGATAGGGAAGAAGGTCCCCTTGTTAAAAACATAATCACAAAAAAAAAAGTTCTTAAAAAGCTCCTTTTTACAAATTAAGACCATTGTTTTTTCATTACAATGCAGAGTACTGTATATAATGTATAGAGTAATAACTCTATTGAAACACAGATATACATGTGCAAATAATAAATCAAGAACAAGAACACAGGTTATCTGAAATTAAAATAATTTATTAGTGCCTAGTTCTTTCACAGTTCATTTGCTCCTAGCTTGATAAATACCTTGGGTTGTCAATTTTTACCTTAAGCGTTCTCTTTTTATGACAATTTAAAGGCCAGAACGTCATTTAGAAAGCTGTATGCATGTAAAAAAGGAAAGAGGGACAGTAGGAAGTTAAACTCACTCAATCAGTTGTGTGAGTATCATTTCTTTCCCCAGGTAAACGAAGTACCTTGAGGTCAGCTCTTCACTCATCATGTAGAAACAATCAGAAAGTGCTAGATTTGTCCAAGAAAGGATTATCTTGAATATTTTCATTAACAAAGATGATTGCATTAGAACAGCTATCTCTCAAGTACCGGACTCCATGGCCTGAATCTCACAGCTCTGCCTCACACAGCAGTGCCACTGAAAATCTGACTGTTTAGAACTGGTTTGGTACTGCAAGATTAATGTAGGAGCACTCCATTTATCAACCTTATATCAAAAATATTTGACGTACATGACTGTATTAACTATAAAGGATGTGGAAGTTATGCAGAGGGCTGAATCTCTACAGCATTTCCACAGGAACTGTGCTGCCAGCTGCAAGCACAGATCTCATTATTTACACTGGTGTGCATAAAGGATTTTTGGTCTGGTAGGACCAAACCAGACTGTACTCCTGAGAAAAATTGCTATGCAATGAAGGCACCCACCTTATTCATGATTTTGTATAAAGAACAATGTTATCAGGGAGATGTCCCATGACCAGATCTGTTCCCAGTGAAGATAATTCCTTCAAACTTCAGCAATAGCAGAAGTCAGGGTAGAAATATATAACTAGGAAGACAAAAGACTACAGACTGAAAGTTAGGTTCGGTTTTATCATAAACTTACCTTCTGCAAGCCATTAACTTGTGTAGCTGTGCCATGGCATCTCCATCTTGAGGGTGGTCAGATACTGGAACAGGCTGCCCAGAGAAGTTGTGGCTGCTCCCTCCCTGGAAGTGTTTAAGGCCAGGTTGGATGGGGCTTTGAGCAACCTGGTCTAGTGGAAGGTGACCCTGCTCATGGCAGGGAGGGTTGGAACTAGACGGTCTTTATGGTCCCTTCCAACCCTAACCATTCTATGATCTTCACAGGAAAGCAGAGAAACTTACTGAGTTCATAGGATTGTATCAAAGAAAATGTATCATTATCAATAAAATGGAAACTTTTCCAATCAAGTGCCATTAAAGCATCTGGTGTACTTAATCTTAATTTCCTTTGTATCAATCCAGTTAATCCATGTGCTAATTCACTAGTCTCTATTTCATCAAATATTTATTTTAGTCTGCTTACAAATTGTCCAGGAAAACAAGTACAGCACTATTTTTAAGTATGTCACTTTGTCCCCTTTACTGAAAATGGAGTGTGATTATTTCCCCCCATGTAATAAATGTGGCACAGTTTTCCATCAGTTCTGTAACAAGTGAAGTATTTGAAGTTTTCTAGCCTCTTGTTCAAAATACACTCTGAAAAGGCATATTGTATTATTCACAACCAATAAATATACAATCATCTTGGAAAATCACACATACAAAACATTACATACAGGTGATTAAACACATGCTAAAAATATACTGACTATTCTCCTCAAATCCCAATATTTTTAAATGCCGAAACACTTTACCATACACAGACACTACAAAATTACTTCGGTGTGTAGGCAGATCATGCTTAAATTTGATTTCCACAGCACAGACAAATGTTACAGATATAGTAGTTGAGGACAATATTGATTATAGCTCTCACATTGTTTTGCAGAAACCTAAACACTCTTCACTGTAAAAGAGTATGACAAATCAAGTTGTCAAACTACATAGTTCAGAAGCAATCACTGCTGGGACAAAAGTTTCTGGCATAACTCAGTGTTACAACCAAATCTTGCGTATATAACCTTATGTATTGTAAAGAGAAAAAACAGAACTTTCCTTATCCAGAATCAGCCAGTACAACACTATGTCCTGTCTCCCAAGAAGTGTGTATTGGTACCTGCTCAAGTACAACAAACACGGTGCCAAAATCTGACCATCAGCCAGGTCCTTTTCATTTGAGCTTATTTTCAGGAGGTTCTTGTTTGTCAATAATAAACTTGCTTTAGTTCATATTACTAGGATTTCTGAAATATTCCAGAAACATCTGCCTAGTTAAGTCTAGTTCAAATTGCAGTGGTAATCTGTGTCAGTCCTAGGTCGTTGGACTCTTCTCTCTCTTGAGGACAGTAAGATGACATTTCCACGACTAGTCATACAGGTTTGTTTGTCCCATCTGCTTCTCTCGTATAAGCTGGGTCTTGCACAGTGTTTCTGACTCTGCTGGTGTTCTGCCTGTCCATCCTCATCTTAAAGGGGAAGCAGAAGTCCTTGAAACATCTCTTGAAGTTTTCATCCAAAAAAGCATAAAGGATAGGATTGAGGCTGCTGTTGGTGTAACCCAAAGCAATACAAAAGTAATAGCTGGATATAGCAGCAGTACTGTGAGACACATCCCCTAACGCTTCAACCAGCACAAAAATGTGAATAGGAGTCCAACAGATAATAAAAACTGCCACAACAACAAGAACCAACCTGGTGATGCGACGCAGGTTTCGATCTTTTTCTCGAGACCCTGAGAGAAGCCGTACACTTTTAAGGCGCAGGATCATCAAAGTATAGCAAACAATTATGATGAGAACTGGAATAACAAATGCAAAGACAAAGACACAGATTTTCATGAAGATGTCCCACCACACGTAATCTCTGTCTGGAAATTGCAAGGAGCATTCAGTGCTAGCAGTATCTAGGAATGAAAGAAGCAAGAAGAAGAAAATTGCTTTATGATATTATAAACAATGTAATTATCATAGCATAAGCTAAGAAAAGTGATTATTGTGTACTGTGATACTGATAAATGGAGTTATTAAATCACTCCAAGGAAATTTTCAACTACCATTGAAACTGGTTTTATGCAGCTGTCTCTAGAAACCATTTAGAGATAGGGGCTTTTTTAAATGTATAGCATTGTATAAAAATTGTTTCCCCTGGGAGGATCTAAAAATGCAGAGCACAAAAATAAAAATTTGTAAAGATGTTTCCATTTGAATCTCACTGAGATTTAAAGCCAGAATGAGTACCATGTTCAATGGAGTAGAAATCTCATAATTGTTATCAAACTACATATGTTTTTGTCTGTGGGCAGAGACAGATTTTTGGTATCATGAATCGTGGGAGCTGAATGAGATTTTGATTGTAGGAAGATTTTGCCAATATATGATAGTTGTGTAATAATCTTTTCCCACGTGCCTTCTTCAGTACAAATGGAATACACATAAGAGCTTGTATTCAGAAAAACTTATTTCCTGGCAACAGCTTCTTTTTAGTTAAATAGAAGCAAATAAAATACATGTGTGCATGGAGTCAAATCAAAACTGCTCTTTTTGCAGATCATGTCATTGAAAATTCAGCCTGTGCAGAGACTGCAGGATCTGGGCTACTGACACCAGCCCACTCCCCTTCTGATTGCCCATGCCAGGATTGAGAGTCACAGGCTGTCACTTGATTTAATGTCCCATAAATATTTCATCTGACAGGAAGCTCCTAAAGAATGAAATATCTGAGACTTTATTTGCTGACCTCAGTGGAGACTTTCAGCATATAAACCATATGGAAAACTGAGAAACAAGACAAATTGCAAGGCAAGAGAAGTGGTAAATTTACAACTACTATCAGCAATTAAACTCTACTGAAGACATGTCAAGGTAACAGAGGGATTTTTCACTCTGAATTATAGCTTAGGTTTTTTTTCCTCTTGAGCACTGCATTCTTCTTTGGATTTTTTAAATTTTCCCTACTGAATTTGTCATTCTTCTACAAATTATTATTTATTGGTTTATACTGAAATCAGATCTAAGGGTAGAATGATTCAATATACTCTTGCACATCACTTTTTCATCTCTGTCTCCAGCAGAACTAATCAGAAAAATTCCATCAAGTCATATTTCCCTGTTATTGAAATGCTTCACAAATCAAGATGATAATGCAGAGAATCTGTTTTGAAAAACAGCTAGCGGGGAAAGTTACTATTATGGTTATTACACAGACATTTCTACATTTAGATATCAGAAAGCTGTTACTGGGTGATATGGAATACTGAAACATTCAAATAAAAAAAGTTGAAATCAAAACTAAATATTTTTAGGTTTTCTTTTAAATAATATAACAACTAATGGATTATTCTGAAAGCTGAAAAGTGAAAAGACGTATCTTTCAAGACTGACGGAGAACGCTAAACTGACAGCACAAGTATGAATTAACAGAGTCCTGACACTCAGTCAACTTTTAAAAATCTTTTGTGATGTAAGTTTTAATAAGTGTCGTTGCTTTTACTTATTTTTACTCTAGAAATACCAAGTCTTCTTCAAAGCAGTTTTTGCATTGATTATTACCCTTATTTGTAATAGATCATGGCCTAGCAGCAGTAGTAAAATCAGGATGCAGCTATAATACCTAGACTAGTAAAGCTGCATCTTTCAGCTACTCACTGAAACCCCCTCCTAGAAGAAACTGCCTCTTCAGATCTATTGACATAGTTTCATATATTTATCAAAAGAATTAGGTCATGCTTGCTACATTTTAATAGAATTTGTAGTAGGCAATGGTATTTTAGAATTCCAAATTACTGAATACAAATTTAATTATTGTCTTACATCTCATTACAGTTTACTTTCTATGGAAAATATTATTCTAAATTTATTAATATTCATGTATTTCACTTGATATATATAATGCTATGAATTGTATGGAACCCATTTACTTTTTCACAATTTACAACTGGCAAACAATCAACAATAATCCTTGTCTTAATGCACAATATCATAATAATTTTCAGGAGCATTGGAAGAGAATAAAGTCAAATTTATATTTTATTCCTGTTGCCTGAAAAGATGCAGAACTAAGTACAGTGTCACAAACCGAATACTGAAGATTTCATACTGACCTTTTCCACTCTGAAAGCCAAATATTCTAAATATTTATAAATTTAAGGAAAAATACTGCATTCTAGATGGTATTTTAGTATAAATTTATTTTTAAATATGTTTTATAAACTACCATATAAGATTAATCTTAATCTTGACGTAGAAAATATATTTCTCTTAGATACATTGCTAATTATGTCATCTTCAGGCATCCATACTCCTCTATACTCAAATGGAGACTTCATAGTATTACTGGGAATATTAATAGTGCATCTAATTTTGTTTGGGTTTTTTTAAGTGAGAAACTCTTTAGCAAAAAAGGCTCCATTAATCCCAGAGAGGGAGTATTTACACTGATATGAAATTTATTCTGCAGGGAAAATGTACTCAGAAGAACACCATCGGGAGCAATTCTGTACTGTGAGAACAAAAGGGACTAATGGAGCATGGGGTAGTAACTTTAAATATAATCATTTTCCATTTGATGTCCAGTGGTTGATTAAATCTGAATCCAGCAGAGGCCTCATAACATAGAAACAACTATTTTGACCAATATAACATAAAGTCTCAGTCCTGAGCTCCAGCTGTCAGGCAAAGGGAGGATCCTTGCTTTTCCCCTTCAGCATTTATCAGGGCAATTCATGAACACACCAGACAAGATAATTGGCAGTAAATGCTCAAGAGACACCTTAGATCAGACAAGCAGGGGGGGCTTGTCAGCAGAACAGTAGAGGCTGACAAGCATTTGCCAATAATTTCCAACCTTGTTAGGCCCAGCTGACCTGTGTATTACTAGTCTCTGAGGAGGGGAAAAAAAGGCATTTAATCACTGCTGGACTTAGAGCAGCCCCTTGATGTAAAGGTGATGTTTACAGTGAATGACAGGAATATTCTGCTAGTTAAGCATGCTCTAACAAAACACCTGACTGAGCCAATATCCCATGGCATTCAAGATCTCACATAGAGAGACAAACAGTCTTTCCAAATGAAGATGCCTGGCAGTTAATGTTTCCTGAGCTAGATACTGTTTTATAGAGCCTGTCAAAACTTTACTGGGGAGAAGAGATACAGCACTGCAGACCAGGACACTTGATCCCACAAAGGGCTGAAAGAAGAGTTTCCAGAAGGTTCTCCTGTCACCTACCCACCACAGGACCAACAGCAAGAACAAAAACTATACATCTCAGCCAAATCAATCAGCCCTTGAGCAGCTGTTACTGAACTGTCTTGTTTGCATTGATTTATGCCAAACAGTTTAACACACAGCATTTATTGTCTCAGCCAAACAAAATAATGTCCTTATGTAAAGTTTACCATGTCTCTTGGGAGGAGTGAAACCTAATAAAAAAAGATTCTTAGGAATTTATTAATAATTTGTCAAAAGATTATTTACATCTCAAACAAGACTACCACCAAATAAATATGTATGTCTTGTATTTTATCGAGCCATCCATTAACAGGATGGCCCCAAGCTAAGGACATCATTAGAAGCCTCAATCCTTTTGGAGACACTGAGGTGCTCCTGCACTACATTCATGCCTATGGGTATGAAATACACATGTGTGAGAATGTGTATCCCCTTAACTTCTCAAGGAGTATTTCAAAATAAGATTAACCTCATAGCAGGTCAGTTTTAGTAATGAGTCATCAGTTATTGGGGATAAATCCACAGTCTTTCGTGGATTATAAATTTCAAGCAGAGCCTACAGGTGATGTGCATACGCATCTCATTGACTTCATGTTCTTGTAGTTGCCTCCCTGTCACAGTCTATTCCCAATTCCTCTGCTGATCCTTATTCTCAGCCTTTCCAAGTCTCCATATATATTCCTATCGCTTTTTAAACATATATATATATGTTTATATAATTTAGCTTGATTTTTCTCTCTTCAGCTACTGACTTTTCCTTTCTTCACCATGCTTTCATGTTCTGTGAAATGGCCATTGATAATAAGCTCCCAAGCCTTAATACTGATGATAGTTTTCATATTAATACTAATGACAAGCAATCTATTTTCTGCTCTTGGAACATCATCAGAAGTACTCCCACAACACCTACAACAAGCATCTTAAGATCACATTTCAAGTTTCATCCTAAACTGATCTTTGATCTGTCCACTGTGATCAAATCCCTGTGATTGTTTTCCCCTGCTGTCTGCTAGTTGTTTTTTATGGTCTCATTGTAGCACAGACAACGCTTCAAAGTGCATTTTGTTCTTTTAGTTGACCAGGGCACCTGAGCTTGAATGATACATTAGATGTCATATTAAATGTCATATTGTAATGTTCCACTATATATTTCAAAATGTCAGAAATTTAGACATACTTTTTGAAGAAGGAATCAATCAGGTTTTATCAATATTCAAAGCTACCTTTTATGTCATCTGAGAAACAAAAGACTGAATTTTGAATGCTCACACTCACCTTCCCTGACTTTGGTACCTCCAAGAACTATCGCAGATATACCAACAGATGAGGACAATAGCCAGATACAGATATTGATTATCTTTGCCTTAAGAGGTGTACGGAAGTCCAGAGCTTTCACAGGGTGACACACAGCAATGTATCGATCAACACTCATCATAGTCAGTGTGAATATGCTGGTAAACATGTTATAATAGTCAATTGAAATAACTATTTTACACAGCACATCACCAAAGGGCCAAGAGTTCATCAGGTACTCAGTGCTTTGGAAAGGCATAGTGGTGGTAACTAGTGCATCTGCCATAGCCAGATTGAAAATGTAGATGTTGGTTGCTGTCTTCATCTTTGTGTATCTGAAGAACACAAAAAAGTAAGGCTTCATTATTTCAAAATATGATTATTCACATTCAGATATGTGACAGTTAATAAGTCAGGGTTTACCATAGTTGGGTATTTTTCTGTCATTTCTAATTCATGACTGAAGTGCACACAAATACAAGACCCTTTGGATAACAGTAAACACATTTGACAGTCTCTCAGCACCTGCATTAACAGTTAGAATTATCCACCACAGGAAAAACCAGGTATATGAACACATTTCATCTAATTAGCCAAATAATGGTTTTAATCCTATCTTCTAAAATCCTTCTATAAGAAAATTTCATCATTACATTTGCAAGTGATCAAAATGGTTTGTGTTTCCCTTTCTTATAGCTAACTGTTCCCTCCCTTCCTATCATCAGCTTTTCTCATGCCTCTCTTTTGTGACTGGTAGTGTAAAAGATGACTATTGTCTAAGTAGGATACCACAGTGGGGAAAAAGTTGATCATAGAAATATTTTTTCTGCATCCTTTAATTTCAGCAAAATGAAGCACTTATTTTGTCCAGTTGGTAAGAACCTCAGCCTACACAGAAGAATAGAATCTGTTTCTTTGAGAGGAAGGGACAGCCTGTGCCCCAGGGTGTGGAGGACTGCTTCTAGCTCTGCTATGGATTCAAAAGATGAAGAAAAGCCTGTGAACATAGAGATATAGCTAACTCTCCTTTTTGAAATGCTTCCCTCAATTTAATTACTTTTGCTCATTGCTGTTAATTTATTACCAGATTCAATGACAGATTTTCTTTCTCAAAACAGTTTCAGCCTCATATTTTGAATGCAAGTCCAAATTAAAATGTGCAGATGTAACACACACAAAAACATGTCTAGCTAGATTTTAGTATATGTCATTAACAATTTACAGTGGAAATATAAGATTTGATCAGTTCAGCTAATGAACATGTAGAGCAATGTGTATATTTGCCTTTAAAACTTTGATGTGTAAAATAAAAATAATTTTTAAAAAATTAAACAATGTTGACAAAATGTGTCTAATATGAAAATTAACTATTAATTACAATATGGGCAGAAATGTCATTTTATGACCCACAAGAAATGTTAAAAATAGCATCAGTTCTTCTAAAACACTCAAATTATGACTTATTGAGAAAATGAAACCAAATGCTGTTTCGAAGCATATAAAAGAGAGCCGCAAGGGAGAAGAAGGTAAACCCTTCTCCCTCAGATACCATGTCCAGGCTCACATCTTGAACAAAGCCACAGCCAGTGAAGCATTAGAAATCTCTGAGCAGGAATCCAAAAGGAAGCAACAACAAAAGCTCTACCCTGATCGTGTGACCCCCATGGTCCAGACCTCTGCCCCGGTGTGAGCTTCTCCAAGACCAAAGGCAGAGCAAGAAGGCACCTGCCAATTAGAAATGGGCTTCTGCCCCTTCCCAGATCAATCTCCTCCACAGGATCCCCAGCAGAAGCAGCAGTCTGCCTGTAGGTCACATTATAGCCTGCAAGGAACTGTTAAAATACAAATATGAGAGTACAAATAGCTAGGAGAAACAAATAGAAGACACATTAACAGACTAGGAACTTTTCTCCTGGGGGGGGGGGGGGGGGGG